CGCGCGATAAAAAAATTAACGCCGTTAAAATGGGTTTGCGTTAACGCCGTTAATAACGCGTTTAACTGACAGCCCTAATATATATATGTATACACTCACCTGAAGGATTATTAGGAACACCTGTTCAATTTCTCATTAATGCAATTATCTAATCAACCAATCACGGCAGTTGCTTCAATGCATTTAGGGGTGTAGTCCTGGTCAAGAAAATCTCCTGAACTCCAAACTGAATGTCAGAATGGGAAAGAAAGGTGATTTAACACTGGCAAATATTATTTGGCTGATCATGATTGGGGCTCGCCTCCAGAGAGGCCCACTGAAGCCAATTGTCTGATTGACCAGTGAATTTAACAGCCAAGCACCCTATCTGCTGGCTATGTACCCCGTTACGCCAGGGAGCCAATCGTCTTTGAGTACTATTGAACGGGCCAATGGGAATTGGCGTGCGTGATGACATCACACACTCCGCCCCCGCGGCGCGGGTATAAATACGGAAGTGGATAAACGCACTAGTTGCTTTTTCGCTGAGGAGCCAAGCGAAACTCGGAGTCAGCGGTGGTCCAGCGGTGGTGGCAAGGGGACTACGTCCTCCGTTCCCTCCTTCAGGGAACGGTGGGTTGCATACGCAACCAGGACGTTCCCTTTCATTTGAGAACGTCAGATGTAGTCGACGTCGACTGAATGGGAATGACCATTGAACACGCCACTAAAGCTGCTACCTTCCAGTGCCTAGACAAAAGCCTCCAGATCCCCCCGCAATTAAGGCGGAAAGGGACAGGGTTTAGGCCAGGGAAGTCACTGCTGTTCCTACAGGACCACTGGGAAAGCATTCCCTGTACAAGGAAGGAAGGGACGCTGCGGAAGCCACATCCTGCCCGAAGGGAGGTAACATGTGGAGAATACACATATGAACTGGGCGGATGACTGGGCAGTACATCATATAGGTGTCTTGCTCATGGACACCTCGACACTTGGTCAGGTGGAACCGGGGATTGAACCGGGGATTGGTTTGTAGACAACCTACATGAACCACTGAGCCACTGCCGCCCTCAGATAAGAGCTGGTCTGGGGTCCTAAGGCTTGCGTTCTGTGCACGTATAACCGCAATGAAGCGGACGGACAGAGAAAGCCAGGGCTGGGTCTGCCTCCTTCGGGGCAGCGCTTGCAGGCTCACCACCTGGTCCCAGTTTAAGGGAGAGGTAGGAACCTTGGGCACATATCCAGGCTGGGGTCTCAGCTAGTGAGAGTTAGCCGGCCCGAATTCCAGGCACAAGTCGTTGACCGAAAGCGAAAGTTGTCCCCACCCTCTAGAAGAGACCATGCGAACAGGAGAACTGTTTAAAACAGAATTTTTAACTCACTGCCTGCAGTAGCACCAGAGATAGGCCCAAGAAGATAAAGAGGGGCGCAGGGATGACCGTTGCTCCCTCAGAAACCTGACGATCAGGACGTGCTTCCCATGCTTCTGCATATGATGTTTGTATCATATTGAGGGTGAAGGAACAGCCTACTCCAACCCAACTTGCAGGAAAGGGAGCACTGAAATGACCGAACGCTGTCAGGATCTCCTCACGGAGAGAAGACTCATTCAACGAATAGGTTCCACTTCTAACTTAGCGAAGCACAACTGCCTTATCTTAAGGGGGTGCTTGCAGAAGTAATGGTCACTACCACATATCCTTGTGGTAGCCACCTGAACCTCCCCATCCAGTTTTGAACGCGGGTGCCATCATGCCCCGTCCCTGAAAAGTATTCAGGGGAAGTCAGGAAGGCTGTCGAGGGAGCTAGGTCTGGTTGGGCCAATAAGGGTAAGAGTTGGGCCGCTCTGATAAACCAAACATCCAACCGAGACGGTTCGGGATACGGTGGAGGGTTCCACTCGAGCACTACCGCCTCGGCGGCCTTCTTGAGCATAGCTGCCATCTCTGGATCCGGCTCGGGTAACGCTGGTCTCCCAGAGGGAGGCAGCGCAGCCAAGTCATCACCTCCAGAGCCCAGCTCCCCGTCCGATGCTGCAATGGACATCCTGTCCTCTGGAGGGGCCCCGAATGAGATGACTGGTCGGTCCACCACAGAGGGACCAGCAGTCTCGTCGGGGAGCTCCACCGGCTGCAGTGCAAAAGAGGAGTGAGGGATTCACGGGGCCTTGCCGGGTGGATTATCCCTCACCGTAATCCTCAGGTCGCCCAGACGGCACTCCAGGTCTCTTCTGGGAAGGTAACCCAGAAGAGACGGTAGAGCGGGGCCTGGGGATGGGGACTCCACCTTTGCGAACGAAGGCGAGTCTCGACCTTAGCACCGAGACGGTCATGTTCCCACAATGAGAACATGACTCATCCACAAGAGCTGCTTCGGCGTGCTCCAAGCCCAGACACGTGATACAACTCCTGTGACCGTCAGAGGGGGACAGAGCCCTACCGCACCCAGAAACGCACGGATGGAATGGCATCTTGAAAAAGACACAAAACTCACCCGTGTTGCTCTTTTAGAAATGGGACCCGTCACCAGTGCCGGAGCACACAGGGAATGACCGCGGCAACACTGAATTCAGCAAACTGAAAACAGTGAAGCACTCACTTTTCCGCCCTCAACCAGCCGTCAACACACACACAAACAGAAATTGACTTGTTGTTAAAACAGCAGTTGAGAGCTCAAAGCTCGCGATCACCGCTGCACTCACGCTGTAGAACCACCAGCACCAGGAGAGTCTTCCAAAAGAACACAGACACACTCGCTCGTTGAATAACAACAGCACTCTTCAGAGACAACAGAACGATAGGGTCCGAAGCGAAAGGCAACTAGTGCGTGCATCCACTTCCATATTTATACCCGCGCCGCGGGGGTGGAGTGTGTGATGTCATCACGCACGCCAATTCCCATTGGCTTGTTCAATAGTACTCAAAGACGATTGGCTTTGAGTACCCATTACTCCCCATTCAGTCGACGTCGACTACGTCTGACGTTCTCGACTGAAAGGGAACTGTACATCTCGTTGTTTTCATACGGATTACTTAAACAGAGAATATATATTTTTTATATAATTTACATCATTTAAAAATAGAGACTTAAAGCTTTGTAAAGACATATTTCTCATGTCAGTGTGGCTAGCATTCGCTAAGTTACAGATCATTTTCTGTCGCGTTTCAGAATGAACTTCACATTGAGAGAGACGGCAAAACGCGCATCATGTTTATTTTCTTTATTTTACGAAAAACACAAAAAAATTATTATGAGTGTACACAAATAAAGGAAGACATTTAACAGTTTTGAATGATGTATAACACTCAACCAAGCCAAGGCGGGCCATCAGAATATCGTATTCCACTCATCATGGGCCCAGCCTCAGGCCTGATTTAAGAAGCAACTGGGGAGTCGTGGAAGAGATAATTACGCCCTCATGGGAGGTGATCCATCTGTGTGCATTTGTGCTGGATCACCTCCCTCAGATCCCTCTTCTTGCTGGAGTCCCGCCTCTTCTGCGACCTACTCCTCCATGGAGATGAGGCGACGCTGGCTCTCTGGCCCTGTCTACAGTCCTCGGACCATGATGGGCCAGGCCCTCCCACTTGTCTGGGGCGTGGAAGCGGACCTCAGCGGTATGCAGGTTCTAAATGCAGCTAAGCGTGCCTTCGCCTCTCTGAACTTTCCAACCACTGCCTCCACGGAGGTGCCGAAAAGTTCGGAGGGCGCAACCGGCGAATCGAGGAGAAAGCCCTTCTCTTTCTCCCCGATATCAGCCAGGTTCAACCACAGATGTCTCTCCGTGACCACCATCACCGCCATCGACCGGTAGATCGCGGCAGCAGTTTGCTTAGTGGCCCGGAGAGCAAGATCCGTGGTGCGGCGCAGCTCAGCAACTGTGTTAGGGGACATCCCTGCCCCCTGGTTGAGATCCCCCAACAGATCGGCCTGGTACGCCTGCAACACCGCCATGGTGTGCAGGGCAGCACTGGCCTGACCTGCTGCCATGTATGCTCTGCCATTCAAACGCGATGTTGCTTTCAAAAGTTTGGATGGCAGGGTTGGACCTCTCAGTGTCGATGCCCGCCCAGACGCGAGATAGTTCGCAAATGTCTCGTCGATGGGCGGCATTGACACATACCCATGTTCTCCTACAACATCAGCAAAACTACCGCGAGCAATCTCTCCCCTAACGCGATCCATTACATCCACCAGCTCAGCATACACCGGGCAGAGTGGCTGAGAGGGTTCAGAATCTATCTGTTTATCACCACCCTCATCAGCCATCTCCTGCTCATCCTGAAGAGCACTTGCTGCTGGGCTAGGCGGAGGAGAGAAATCCTCCACCTGCAGCTCACCCTCGTCAGCCGCCGAATCGTCTGAGAGGGTTATTCCCCACTCAAGGCGATCGGCCAGCTCAAACTGGGAACCCCATGATGCGCGTCACCGCTCTGCCTCAGCACGAGTGGGACCCGAACCACGAGATCCAGACGCTGAGCCCTCTTCGCTCGAGAAACGCTCAGAGTTTGCACAGGCAGCTCCCTCGAGAACTGCCTGTGCGTGCTCTTCACCCAAACAAAAAACGCCCATCTCGTGTGTGTCACTCGGCGCCAAGTATCTTGGGCATGGGTCTGCACACTTCTGGAAGCATTGCTTAGCTTTCTCAGTGAATTTCATTTTTATTTCTTACCGTAATCTCAAGTGCTTACAGACAGAACAGTCCACGAAGACGAAAAAGGTGATTGTCATGTTTGCAAGGCGCCCTTTTATACTTTCGGGTTGCACGTTAATGAAGTCAGCGGCTGTCGCCGGTCAATATGGTTGCCGTGATTTGATAGTGATTTCAGACACCTGTCACGCCTGAGGCGTTCCCCAAAGCGTCATCGACGCTATGCGAGTTCCCTTTCGAATGGGAACAGCTTAACACAAAGCTCATTTGTATACGTGCAACACATTTACTAATAAAGTACTAGAGGGGTTTGCCAGAACACTGAATTTTTGTCAGATAAATACATTAAGTTATGTACAAAAATACCTACTAAATTATGTTTTACATCCACTATGTCCTCTATTCCACTTCCGTTGTCTCCAGAACCCTACAAATAATGAAAAACGGACATTACCACCATTTTACCACAAAAATGACCAGATAGTTAGTAAGCCTTCAAGATTTTCATACATTGTCAGTGGCAAATAAGTCAGTCCTGACTCCTGTCTGTGAACTATAAACAATAAATTCCTTACAAAAAAATTAAATTAAAAATAAAAACCTCTCTGTAGATGTAAGAATGACAGTCTCAAGTTTATATGCAGCTTACATCATTGTCATCATCATCAGCTTCATCACATTGACGCTCTGCAGCCCGTGGGTTTCCAACCACTCTTAACTCTGAGATCATGCCCTAAATAAAAAAAGACAGGTCCAACATCAACATCAGTCAACATATCAGCTGTGGTTGTATATGAATATAAGTGTATTTCTGGATGGAAAAAATAGCTAGACCATATATTACATATGTTGACCAGACAGTAGCTAGATCATATTTGTCTGGGACGATTGACTGATCAATTCATAATTTAACAGAAAGACAAACAGACAGAGACAGATGGAAAGGCTACAAAGGATCCAGGTCAACATTCCTTGTTGTCCACACCCCTGAGAATGACCCTTTGTGTATCTGAGAAAAATGACAAATATAGCACTGTCAATGATACACAGGACATACTTGATATTTGTCTGGGTCATCAGCTCCACTTTGTCCAACAAAGATCCTGGAGTTTGTCTCCAGCTCCAAGTCATCAGGTGAGCGCACAAACTTTACCACCTTGGGCTCAGTATCACAGTCCTCGTAGAAAGAAACTTGGTCCATATTAACTGCCAGAGAGAAGCGACTCCACACTAGAGGCTGGTGTGCCACCTCAAAGTTGGCCACCTCTTGAGATCTATCTGAATCAGGCTCTGTGTAATAAAAAATAACTTTCCTTTTACCATCCTCCACAGCAGAGAGCTTGACCCCCACGTACATGATATTTTGATTGGAGTCTGTGATGGAGAAGAGGACCCCAGCATCATCAGAGGTGGGCTTCAAGTGGAACACAAGAGAGAAGTCTCGGTAGAAATGAGTGGGAAAGTGGGCAAGTGCCATCTGCCCTGTGTTGGTATCCTTTGTGAAGAGGTAAGCGATTTGTCTATTTGGGCCTGGAGCCTGGGTGATCTCTTCAGGCGGAGCGCTTCCAATAAGTTGCAGCAGGGAGACTCCACTCTCTTCTATGGTACAAAAAATATTGTGAATTAGTACAGTGACTTTTACTACAGTAAAACGAAACCCAAGCTTCTGAATGCAGTTTAAATTAATGTGATGTTCGGTGATGGTCAGTAATTGCTATTAAAATATTAAAAATATATGCCTCCATTTGAATTTAGTTCCTATATTGGTCAAATGTCTAAATTTAGTTATAACTGAAATGTACTATTGAAATATTCAAAATAGATGCCTCCATCTACATTCAGTTCCTAATGGTGCATAAAATAATATTTTAGAAAAAGGGCCATTTAATCTTTGCAATACATGTGAAGTGAAATTGCACCTTTCCAGAAAGCCAACCGGTGCAATGTCATAAATCAACAAGCTACATAATCTGGGGACTAATAAAAATGGTTACTGGTGTTTATTGTCATGTCTACAGAACCTACGGGAAAACAGTGAGACGCAGTGGAATAATACTTCACAGTGTACATTACTGTAAGCCCTGGGAGAATCAGACTAAACTTAGTTTTCTGATTATGTGAAATTTTTGCCTTCTCAGGGCTCATGATTGTGAGATCACAGAAATGCTACCATAACAGTTCTAGGTCTTTATTACAAAGTGCACTTTTTAAATGTGTTATGAAAATGTACTCTTTTTACGTACACTTAAGTGGCCTTTTATTTCATTGATATTATATTATCTGCAAGCACTGTATAGTTCTCTTACGAGAGTATCTCTCGTACTGCGTAATAGCTTTACGCTAGGGGAAAAACTCTTTTCCGCGAGATATTGAAGCCAAAAATTATCCTTTAATTTTTTATTAATGCAAAACGCTTTGCAGCAGAAAGCAAACATAGGCGAAACAGCTTGCGCGCCTATTGGTTGCTCTGCAGCAAATGCAGCAGCCTATCGAGAGAGACTCTGCGTGACGTAATGACCAATGGGGGCAATTCGCGCCCATATCGTCACGTCCCGCCAGAAGGGGCGTGGTCTCGCCCTATAAATATGCTCGTTAGGCTGATACAAGCTGATTTTTACCTCTTCAGCGAAGCACACGCATCGCTGGATCCGGAGTGAGAAGCCGCGCCGTCGAAGCAAGCCTTTCAGCGGGACGAGCTCTGGAGTCGCTGGCCTCGCCGCCTTCATCTGCCGTACCTGCTGCGCTTTCCGGCGTTATATATCCTTTCAAATACTCTGTGTGTATTTCTCTGTTGAGAAGTGTTTGTTCGCTTACTTGACGCGACTTACACTTCTCTCACAAAAAGAGCAGCGTCTTTTTAAAGATGCCTTCCTGTGGCTCGTGCCGCGCCCCGCTCAGCGATGGAGATCGACACGTCATCTGTATTTCCTGTCTGGGTGAGGATCACGCGGCTATCGCGCTCGCTGACGGCGGATGCCCTCATTGCGAGCTTTTGCCCATGGTGACTCTGAGGACGCGCCTGGCATCATTCTCCGAGCCTTCACCACAGCCCGCCGTGACGCCGCGCCGTAAAAAGCGCCGCGCCCAGCGCGCTCCCGAGCTATCTCCAGCCCGCCAAAGCTCGCCGGTTCGCCCGCCTGCTTCGCCGGCTTCGCTCGAGTCGCTCACTGACGGACAACGGCCGCCGCCTGCCGCCGCGTCCATCCACGAGCCTGACGAACCCTCCGAGGCGTGTTCTCTTCTGGCGTCCGATAGTGAGGATTGGGCGAGCTCCGTGGATCTCCCCTCCGCTAGCGTTTCCCGCCAGACCACTGGTAAGAGAGCCGGCATTGAGACTGAGCTGATGCGTCTGCTCTCTCAGGCCGTTGAAAGCATCGGCCTAGATTGGGAGGCGCCCGCGCAACCGCCGCGCAACAGGCGAGCTCTGTGGACCTCCGCCTTCTGTCCGCGAGTCGTCAAGGAAACGGGCCAGCATTCTACCCCGCCCCCCATGGGCGTGCGTCACCGGCAAATGAGAAAAGAATGTGTTTTAGTCCCCGCCGAGGCCGGATTAATCTCCATTTCTCAAACATTTCTCAGCTCCTAGTTTGAGCGGCTGAAAATGTCATTATTGCAGCAATGAGCCTGTTGTATAACACGCACACCTGCATACAAACGCCGACACACACAAAACTGTGATAACGCTCTCTTATCTGCTTGCGCTGGTGTAGTTCTCCCTGTGGCCCAGTGGCGGAACCTGAAGCTTTCACGCGGGAGACCCGTGTTCGATCCCGGCTCTCGCAGCAGATAAAAATTTAGTCTCGCCGCGGCCAGACTTCCACCGAAACTTTTCGCTCGTTCAGTTCCAGATAATGCGACTGTTCCAGTGTATTTTGCAGTAAACAAGCTGGTACCACGGCCCGCTTGCCTGCACATAAAGGCCGTTTCCATGGCGACCCAGAAAAATCATTGTATTTCTGGTTTTCCGGCCACAGCCGATGGTGTTATAAGTGTAATAAAATGCTCACAGCCCAGTGTTCATTTCTACACACAAACACAGCCCGCCACGGTACAGGGCTCGCACAATTGTGCATTAAATGTAGTGAATGTGCCCACAACCCAGTGCCCACATACACTACCACGGTTTCTGTAAAACGAAACCAACACAAGTCTTCCTAGCCTCCTAGGAAATTGACGGTGTTTCAGTCTCGCCGTGGCCAGACTTCCACTGAAATTTTCGCTCGTTCAGTTCCAGAAAATGTGACTGTTCCAGTGTATTTTGCAGTAAGCAAGCCAGTACCATGCCCGCTTGCCTGCACACTAATGCTGTTCCCACGGCGACCCAGATAAATCACATAAATGGTGTATTTTCTGATATTCCGGCCACAGCCGATGGTGTTATGAGTGTATTGAAAATGTCTACAACCCAGGGCTCATTTCTACACACAAACACAGCCCGCAAAAATGCAGGGCTCGCACAAACAATCCGGCCACGGCCGATGGTGTTATGAGTGTTGTAAGAATGCCCACCCAGTGCCCATTCCCACACCCAGACACAGCCCGCCACGGTGCAGGGCTAGCACAAATAAACTCGACTCAGGTCGATTGTGCAAACAATGTAGTAAACGCGCCCATGTCACCATGCCCGCTCACACTACATGCTGCGTGTCCCTTGGTTTCTGTAAAAACGAAACCAACACACATTCAGTCGGCCATGAACGACGGTGTTTTCAGTGTAATGTGCCCGCAGCCCCGCGCCCACATTTTGTCACAGACACGCCGATTCCTACGGGATCTCCCCCGCTCGCTTTTTCTGCACTATCAGCCATAAAAAAGCTGAGCGCGGTCAGGCCGCCCGCTGTGATCAGCGCGCCCCCCGCCTCGAACGCTGTAAACACGGTGTTGTGTTCCCCGGATTTCATTCTGCCCCTAGCTATTCATGCAGATGCGTGGTCAAAGCTTCCCGGGGTATCAGAATGGGTGCTGAACACTATAAAGAGAGGCTATTCGCTACAATTCGCTCGACGCCCACGCCGCTATACGGCGCGCGTCGAAACTACGGTGAAAAACGAAGTGTCTCATCTACTTCGTGCCGAGATAGCGAAACTACTGAGCAAAGGGGCTATAGAACCTTTATCTCAGGCTCAGAGCGAAGGGGGCCTATACAGCAGATATTTTCTGGTACCGAAAAAGGATGGGGGTCTCAGACCCATTTTAGATCTGCGGCAGCTGAACAGAGCGCTTGTCAAACGCCAGTTCAGAATGCTTACGACCAGGAAAATCCTCGCGCAAGTGCGCCACGGGGACTGGTTTATGTCAATAGATCTGAAAGACGCCTATTTCCAGATACAAATAGCGTCCCATCACAGGCGATTTTTGAGATTCGCCTTCGAGGGCCAGGCATATCAATACACAGTCCTGCCGTTCGGCCCGTCCCTAGCACCTCGTACATTTACGAAGTGCATGGACGCGGCGCTCGCACCCCTGAGACTTCAGGGCATGCGAGTCCTGAACTACTTGGACGATTGGCTGATTCTAGCTCGATCACGATCGGAGCTCATAGAACACAGGGCCGCATTACTCGAGCACCTCGAGAAGCTGGGCCTCACAGTCAATTGGGCGAAGAGCTCACTGTCTCCCAGTCGGAAAATTTCCTTTCTGGGAACCGTGTTGGACTCGCTGTCCATCACAGCACGCCTGTCACCAGAGCGCGTACTGAGTATTCAGCGCGGCGTGAAATCCTTCCGCCACGACGCGATAGTTCCGCTCAAAAGGTTTCAGAAAGTGCTGGGGCTGATGGCCTCAGCAGCCTCTGTACTCCAGTTGGGCTTGCTCCACATGCGCCCACTGCAGATGTGGCTGAAAGCGCGGGTTCCACCCAGGGCATGGACAGCGGGTCTGTTTCGCCTCAGGGTCGACCTTCAGTGCGTTTCAGCTCTGGAACCTTGGAAAGTGACCGACTGGTATCAGTCAGATGTGAGTCTGGGGACCGCTTCGAGTGTGAAGGTGGTGTCTACGGACGCCTCCACCTCGGGGTGGGGAGCGCTGCTCGAGGGCAGACCGCTAGCTGGCCTGTGGTCAGAACGGGAAAAGCTCCTTCACATAAACTGCTTGGAGATGATAGCAGTCGACAAAGCGCTACGGCTTTTTTGTCCCCAGATAACAGGCCACCACGTCTTAGTCCGGTCGGACAACATGTCAGTGGTGGCATACATAAATCGCCAGGGCGGCGTCAGGTCACGAAGCCTTCTCAGGCTGACGGAACGCCTTCTGGTCTGGGCTCAGCACAGCCTGCTCTCACTGAGAGCGGCGCACGTGCCTGGTCACCTGAATGTGGGACCAGACAGACTGTCCAGGAACAAGGTCCCGGCAGGGGAATGGTCGCTGCACCCGCAGACGGTCCAGCTGCTGTGGAAAACGTTCGGCAGAGCACAAGTGGACCTGTTCGCGTCCCACGAAAACGCTCATTGCCCGGAGTTTTTCTCGAAAAGCAAGGACGCGCTGGCTCATGTTTGGCCCTGCTGCCCCCTGTATGCTTTTCCTCCTGTCTCGCTCCTGCCTCAGGTGTTGGAACGAATCAGGCAAAACGGATGCCCAGTGCTGCTTGTAGCCCCGCTCTG